ATGAAGAGTTGCCTGAAAATGTGTCAGAGTTTGTGAAAATGTTATTGGAAAGGATGGATGATATTCACCATCAAGTGCGTTCAAACTTGAAAACGTCTGCTGATTTGATGAAGTTATCTTATGATAAGAGATCTTCTGAAGTCAGCTTTGTACCAGGAGACAAGGTGTGGTTGTATAATCCCAGGAAGACCAAAGGGAAGTCTCCTAAGTTGTCTTCTCCATGGGAAGGCCCATATGACATAGTGAATCGTCTCTCAGACGTGACTTTCCGGATAAAATGTGGTCGGCGAGGTAAGCCAAAAGTTGTGCATGCCAACAGGCTTTGGCGTTATCACGGTCCAGGAAATTTCAGTTGGGATAAAGTGAACAGCGGTACAAATGACGCTGCTGAAGATGTGTCACCTGAAAAAGCCACTGTCGAAGAAGAAACACTACTCGGTTTTGAGAGGGGAAATGGTGAAGCTCTTGATGAAGTTACTACCACTGATGTGACTGTTACCGACGATAGGACATTTCCTGATGAAGCATATGAACCCCACATGAAGCAGAAGCCAACGAGACGGACGGAAGAAGATACGTCCCATAAAATTAAGAGACTTTGTTGAATTTTAATTTTGTGTTTGTAAATTCTGTACATTTAATTAAGTTATTGTTAATTGTTTATTAGTTTAATGTAAGTGGGTATTGTTCAGGACGAACAATACTAAGGAAGGGGCAGTGTTACGACAGCGGGGGTCACGTGACGCTAGTAATACGTCATATTCTCGAACGTTCACGTCCCTTCCTGAAATCTCGAGAGCCTACTAGATATGCGGTAGTCTTGTATATATAAACCGGTCAAGACGTGACGGCAACAGTGTAATTGAACTGCGGACAGAAAGACATATTGTTGAATCGAGTACGTGAGGCATTCGTTGTGAATTATAGCGTTTGTTATATCGCAAAGTTGTATTCAGAAAGAATAAACCAGTTTTATTTAAGACAGGACTTGTATTGGTAAAGTTTTTTTCGGAAAGAATTTTTACGGAAAATTAACTAACGAACGGAGGCGTAACACTATCAAGACATAGCCTTAGAATGTGACCCAAGAACGTTACCAAAGTAATTTAGGCAGGAGCAAAGTGTAGTCTCTAATCTACTAGATTATGTGACAATGTGTAATGGGGATATATATAAATAGCAATATATGTGTATAAATAAATATATGTGTTTGTGATCTTACACAGATATATGGATGTTATATAAAGTAATTTATGATTGTTCAATAGCACAAATAGATTAATTGCACAAAAATACAATAATGAGCATTACGCATGTCAAAACAAAGGATTTGATCTAAGATGTTGAGACTTTCTGATCAAAAGTTGACTATAATTACTGACCAGGAAGGTATGTTTTGAAGATGCAATGCATCCGCTATTATCATTAATACCAGTGAGAGAATTTTGACATTGAAATTTATTATTTACTGAGAAAATATATCCCAAACACCTATGAATATCCCAGTGAAAACGATTTTGCATGGGACCTACACATAACCGATACACTATCATACTCTCTGTTGGGTCATTGTGTAGTGACAACATTTCCCTCAACTTAGCATGGCTATCACTGACTTACATGTAATCCTACTATTGTTAAAATCTGAACTTGGGACATATGCTCATGTATCCTTTACATCAGCATGTCTGAATCTGGGATCTAGGTTATGTGACTTTACATTGAAGGGCTTATTTCTAGTGGATTTGCCTGTGATTGCATTATTTTATGTTGTACCCAATGAAATTTGCTTTCTAGCTCATAGATAGTGGCAGAAGCATTTGCCATTGGTTGCTGCAGATGTGCCATTAATGGCCTGTAACATGTTCTAGGTATATGCATTTAATTAGTATTATTATATGTATGTGTTATGGCAGTATATATATATATACATATGAATATTATGCAACAAAAGATTTGATAACATATACACATAAATATGAATACAAAAAGGGTATAATTTTCAGACAATAAAGAATTTTGGTCAAAACATTGAAATTTGAAGGATATAAATTTAATAAACTCTGCAGTGATTAGATTGAACCACAGGAAGAGAGAAACAGTGTGTTCTGCACTTGCTTGATGTCATAAACTATTGTTTTTTTTTTAACTTACATATTTGGGTATGATTTATTACTGAATGAGCTTAAGGTTGCTGTATAACTTATATCACAACAAGTAAGAAACAAGGTATTTCCATTTCTGTGTGGGTTTTAAAAAATAGAACTGAATTTAGGAAATATACCAGGCATGGTATAACCTTTCTTTATTCAATTTATATTTAACCATTAATTTAGTGTTGTAATCTTAGCCTTGAAGTATTTGGCCCCTTGGGTGAGAAATGGCCACTGCTTGTAGATATGCCAATCCCAGTTAAGCAAGAGATGGGAAGCTTTATTATTTGTTTCTCATTGTTTGTTACAATTCTAGAAACTGGGTTTTGATAACTGTGGTGGCAGAGCACAGATAGCCCATTGTGCTTAATTAGAATCAACCTACTCAATTTACCTGGGGTTATACTGCATGTAATGAGACACTGTTGGGCTATTCTGTGTACCTAAGATGGCAGCTGGTCAGTTAAAGGGAGTTACTTTATTGAAAGTAGCAATCCTTAATCTCATGTGCTGATCTGAAGAAGCCTGTATGGATTGTCATATATCTTCTTAATATCTATATCCCATAAAAAACTTTAAACTCACAAGCTGTTTGTTAATAAAGTATTTATTTCAAAATCAAAGAACCTTCATCAGTGTTCTTTCAGTTTAATTGAACTTGACTTAATCAAATTGTTTACAATATACAGATAACTAATTATTGTGGTACTTAATTATCTGTTGGTCAAGTGCATCTTGGGATACTACAATTCTCATGTTTCTACATTCCACATCAACATAATTTGCATTATCTTTACATTTATACACTTGATTTATATTAATCATAGCTTTTTCTAACATTCTTTTCACTATACTACAATACAGTTTTATAAACAAATGTACAAGATGACATTATGTCAAAATATCCTTTTTAGCAGTAACCACAGTTGCTTAAAGCCTTCAGTTCTATTGGTTGTTTTTAAAATAATATAAAAATTCTACTTTTTATTAGTTCCAGCAACTGGTGGTAGATTGGGAGATTTCATGAACAAATTTTAAAATTCATGATTACCAGTTGAATATTATATAATTATGTGACTACTTAATTTTTAGACAAGGTTACTGGGAAATGTACTATAGAATATTTTTTAAATCACATTTGTGTGTGTGTTTGTGTTAGGCTGTAATTAGGATATAGGCTTACCTGGCTTGGAGTTTTCAGTTATTACTGAACAAGTTTATATGTAAAATTTCTTTAACATACAAGAGTTGAATGTTCAGTATGACTGATCTGGTACTATAAATAAATATTCTGCCATTTTTTTAAGTATATTTTTCTTAATATAGTTAATGCTATCAGTTTAACACAAAAATATTAAAAGCCTATTTTTGCTAGTAACATGCATGCAGTGTCCCATTAGCTGTATCCTCTTCTCTGAAAAGCCTATTTCTTGTTTGACTGAACATTCACTAAGTGATAAAGCCAAAATCTTGCACCATATAAAGCAATAAAACCTTGGCACAGAATATTAATTACTAGAGATTACCACATGTAGAGAATATTAATGTTCAATATATGCCATTTTTTAAATAAATAGTTTATGGATTCTAGGTATGCCTAAAAATAAATTTTAATTTATGGAATGCTTATTTTCACAATTACTTTAAAGATACAATTTGAATAACAAATAAACACAAGGTTTAGTTTAGTCAAATATTAAATTGATAATATTGAATATAGTACTCTAGTGAGCTTACACAACTTTTCTTTATATTCAGATTAAACTTATGGAAATCAATCACAAAATGACAATTTACACAGTCTTTGTTTAGATTGTAATAAAAATGCTAAATATAAATTTACAGATGCAAAGCAATCTTATAACTACCAGTTTGGGAGCATTTTCACATTCACATCTTTAATATAGCATTTTAATTTAAAAAGAGTATACAACACAAAAGCTTCATAACAATGTTATTGTACGTATACAGCATACTAAATTTAACCAAAAGAAAACATAATTCTGAAACAAAATTTGATAAACTACTAGGAACAGAGTAGAAGAAATTAGAGATTTATTTTGTCTGAAATTCACATCAGATTTAGATGAGGCATAATAAAAAAAAATCAATAACTCATTCCACAAAAGTATGAGAAATGACATAATATATATTTATGATACAGAAAGTTATTGTTATTATTCTAAAGATTTTCTGATATGTTTTTTGAAAAACCTAGAGTCATATCTATTCAATCCCTCCAGGATTATAGGATTACTTTACAGGAAAATGCACATTTCATAATTCTCCACATAAGTTGTTGTCTTTCACATAATTTTGAAAACTGTGATGAGTTATAATCATTACCTGTATGGTGACTCTAATTTGCTCCCAAAACATCAATAATATTTTGATCCTATTGGTTTAAATTTTTTTTCTGAAAACAATCTTTCACTGAGAATATGGTAATAGCTACCAATACAGATGCAATTAAATTGAATTATTGTTACATCTATATCTATCACAATAATCACTTCAAGTTTACAGCAAAGGTTTTACCATGTGTGAAAATCAAACTGTAAACAAGTCCACTAATATCATTTCAGAACATTTTCGTGAAGTGCTAGAGTATGAATATTTGAAAGTACAGAGTTCTCACTGCCAAGTGCGAAAGAATAGTCCCCAAGAAAGAACAGTAAGTTACCTCACAAAGAAGATCCATGATTACATGGAGGATTTACAGTTTGATTCTGCTACTAACAAAGTACTGAAATATGGAACAAATGTATATTTTAAAGAGGTATATAGTTTTTCTTTTGCAAATAAGAAAGAACTGCTTTCAGTATTGAAAATCTTTCAAAATACGTGAATGGTGCGATACTTTTTTTTAAGTATCAAAATTTTCCAATCCTGCATGATTGTTACTACACTGCCAAATGACAAAAATCATTTTCAGGAAGTATTAGCATTTCAAAAAGTATCAGGCACATAATTTCACTTGTACCACCAAACAATTAGTCTACAGTAAGTCACAACAGCAGACACCCTGGGTCTGTTAATCTTGAAATGTTCTGGTATGAGATCCTAGAAGGAAAAGTGTTATAAATGTTTACAAAACTTTACAAGTACAGTGTAACAAACACTGCTCATGTGGAGCAAAACAACAATGTCTATATGCTGATTCTGTCTGCAAGACAGCTACATGACTAAGAACACCTTAAAGGCTTTGACTTTCCAGTATTAAAACTGGAGAGCATACTCTGTTATTCTAGAAGCTGAAGAGTTGACCCATATGATGTATTCTTGATTAAACTGTAAATTACAGGAAAATTGGTCTAGTTGACAAAAGTTTTGTACTTCAAAGTCAAAATGTGTATCTATTGGGCCTAATTCTAAACTCCTTTAGTTTTATTTCAATTTGTTGAGTGTATAAAGGTGTAGATACATTTGCATAAAAAAAAAGTGCACTGATATTGAATTTAGCCTAATTGACAGCTATTTTGGCTGCATGAAAGTTATTATGACTGTTTCTGTTGCAAAATCAAATATTCTGTATTTACGTTATCTTCATTATTTGTATAAAAATTGTCATTAAAAATAAATATGTTTGCTTGAATAGTGCATAAACTTTTGTATAATCTGTCATTTTTGTCATATAAAATATGTAAACAAATACTGAATAATCTTATTTTTTTTGTCACACAATGTTGGATGGACTAAGTTAAGGGTATACTTTCACTAACATCTTCAAGTTTTAATTTGGCTATCTCTGAAATACATATATTAAACCATAACCTGAAAGAAAAAAGCATAAGTTTAACATAATCTTGAAAACAAATAGTTATAACTATATGTATAATTTAAGCAGCTAGTATATTTTCAAGTAACAACACAGAATTGGTGACTGCTTGGGGCAACCTTGTGATATCACCAATTTTCCAGTTATGGATAAAAGCATCCAAGAGCCAAACAATGAGTTCATTAAGAGTAAATCATAAATTCGAATCCCTTATGTTTTCTAACCAAGTATTCTTAATTCTTTTAAGATTTATAGGATCAGAATATGCAACAAACATCAGTGAAAGTGTCTTCAAGGTTTTGATCGATTAATATTAATGTCATGATCAGGGATAGTCATTACTGGAATTCATTAAGTACATAAGTTGGAAGGCACTACAACACCTTGATTTTTATCAATTCTTGGCAAGTCCAGCTACAAGTTTACATGCCGACCTGCAGGTCTGTGTGTAGCAGGCACTAGATCCTAACTTTTTAGATGATTTTTTCCTTCTTTTAAATATGATACTACTAAATTATGTAGTGTTGGAATGAAAATATTCCAAAACCTATGGAATGACAGAAAAGAAAATATTTTGCCTATTACATTAACTGATGGACAAAACACCACTAATAGGCGATCTAAGGAGGCTTGGCAGTAAATGGAAGTAACTAGTTTCAGAGATCATAATTTTTCAAAGTTCTGCTGGTATCGAAACCCAAAGAACTAAAGAGCACAATGACCACAAAATGGAAGGTAGTGTTCAAAGGATTGCTAGTAATCAAAAGACCATTAAGTATGAAGCAACTGTCAGTACCTATGTAATTTGTTTTATCCTTTAATATCCTGTTATCTACTACATACAAAAAATTATGAGAAATATTTATTTCCTTTCTCCACATACTGATGCTAAAATGTCATAAAAAAACTCCAGAAGCCAATCTTAATGGACTGTAGATTATTAGTGATTCCTGTAGAGAACATATAAAGCCTTCTTACATACTATATATATTTTACAAGCCAGAGAAAGCAATAATCTCATGGATAAACAAATGGGACCATTGTGAAGAGTAACAAATACACCTTAAATCTTATACATCATTTTCAGGAATTTGTACTTGGATTCTTTCTTGATTTGCCTAATCTAATAAAAGCAGTTAAAAAATTACCAAAAGGTTAACTTAATAAGGTAATAGATATATATTTTTCTATACATTGGTATAAAAAATCTCTGAAATTCTATATGTTATGTCCCTTTATAATAAATACTTAGGACTTTTGTCCAAAAGTGGACAGTCTAACCCCTGCATGTTTCCTCAGCACTAAGTGTGAATTTTGCACCTTAATGTTGAGGTTTCTCAAATTGTCAGTCCTGATGGCACTACACAAGTTGACTAGCACAATCTATGTGTGACTTGTTGTCACCTGTTCACTGAGAACATTACTTCTAGCCAAGAGGGGCAAGATGTGATACACTGACGCTCATATTTAGGACCCCATCCTTTGGCAAAACTAATGCGGACGGCATGATGGTTGAAAGGCCCATCTGAAAGTTTTATTTCCTCCAAACACTGATAGCATTTAGACTTTTCATAATCAAATATTTTTATGGAGTAACCTGGTAAAACTTTGTGAACAGTCAGAGGCCTGGTGTTTGGCAAGTCTAGGGTAGGAGAATTGACAAATAAAGGAAATTGTAACCGGTTGTATACCCAGACACCCTCTTCTTCTTTGGAAAGTGTGACTCCTAGACCAATCTTCTGCCTGGTTTGAAGAATACTGTTGTTCCTTATTTTTTCAGTGTTAGTGAGGGCACTTATGCATAAGCCATCACCATGAGGTAGGTCATAAAAAACGTTGATGGCATTTTTATGGACGGGAAAAAGGCGACCAACCCGAGACCTGAGTTCCCAGTAAGCCAGAGTGCACCATGGCTGCTGTGAGGAAAGTGTTCCACTACTGTTTCCTGAAAAAAAAAAGAGTTAATGTTAAATTTTTTAAAAAGACTATGGCAACAAAAAGCAATTCACATTACACAGGTCACTCTTAAACACCAAACATTCAAAATAATCCCAATCCTTCCAAGTATTATGCACCACAATAGTGGTTCATAATAGGGATCACAAGGAATTGCACAAAAACCTAATAGAACATTTGGGCAAAAAGCACTTTAAACAGTAAAGATTCAGTTCAAACAACACTTTAAAACCTTTACTATTGACTGCCAAGGTTGTACACATATGAAAATGCACAAAAAAAGCATGCATGTTAGATTTACAAGGCAAAGAGAATCTGCTCATAACAACCCATTTGTAATTCTTCATATTATTATTCTCTTGCCAGACTACAGCAAAAATGGCTTGGTGTATTACATCCAAACCTTTTGTAGAATAATAAATAAGGTATTGTAAAGGTCATAGGGGTATTGAAAAGTTAATTTATTTCTTCTATATTTTACAGAAGCTAAAATACATCATAAATTTAGTGTAAACAATGTATTATTACCCCTTGAAGTTAGCTTTCTTACAAATGGATGAACATTAGTTGACTGTAACATGTAGATATTCAATGCTTTGTACACTATACAATCGGTGTCTTCAGGGAACCAACCCCTATATTATGTATGAAGTGATGGAGTGAGAAAAAATCAATTCACATAATATTAAATGTTATTACACATTCATAGAATAATTACTTTAAAAGACGCAAAGGTTTATTTAAAGCAATGTGTTAGAAGTATATGTTTTATTTGAAAAAGCTGCTTTTCTACTGGTAAAATTTTATATGCACTTAGTGGGAATTGTATTTTAGTCTAGGAATATATTTGCCCACTGCTATGCATTATACATAGAGAATTTGTGACACAGAAACTACAAATTCTCACTATGTTCTCTAACAAATCTCCATGGCAATTTTCAACTGCAGCTTAACAATTTACATCTCGAACTAATGCGATCAGATAGTCAGCAGCTACAATAAATCATCATGAACCATATCAGCTAACTATATAAGAATAGTATCATTACAATGTATAACGTTAGCTACCATATCAAGTAATCCTTTGCCCATAGTTGAGCATAAACAAGCCAGCAAACAAGATAAATAAAAAAAATGTAATTCTAGGTAACAGCATGGTGACAAAATAGGGGTTTGTAGTTTGAGAAAATAATGTCTACAGTATCTCCAGCCTTGTTTCCTTACTTTTTTTATGGTCCCTATTTGCTAGTTTTAAATTCCAAATGTTTTATTTATCTTGTAACCTTTAAAATCCATATAGCCATTTGAAAAAAAGACTTAATCTAAACTAACTATGTTAGTAAATCAGAATGATAAAAATATCATTTCTTTAAGCTCAAGGATTACCTCAAAGGATGAACATGACTAGTTTAGAGTACAAAAGTTTCAGGTAATTTACCAAAGTTAGGAGAAAGATCAAGTTAATAAAATGTACTCCTATAAATGTACAAGTAAGAACAACTAAGGCCCTAAAGAAAGTGGCCTAAAAATTGATGACTGTCATAGTAGGTATTATAAACATTCCAAGAGCATTTGTAACTTATGAGGGCAGAAACCATAGTGAACTCAATGGAAGAAGAATCTAATCAAGGAAAGTTTTATCACTAAGAAGAATATATTAGCACTTTTCTATACATAAATCCAACATCAAATAAGGCCGAGTGAAAAAAAAATACATGTTTAGTGTCCCCATCCGCTTCCTTTTTTGCAGTTGCCTTCCTCCACTTTCCTTTTTTTAGCGATTTTGGAATTATTGTTTTTTGATCATACAAAGAAAAAAAGATGACTTTTGAATAAAAAACGAGATGAACACAGTTGATTCATTTTGCCCTCTTTCTTTATTTGTTATAAATTCTGTATAGTTTTGATGGAAAATTGAAAACAAAGTTGACTTCTGTTTGACACGGACCCTTTCAAAACAAGCAACAATTATAAAAAAAAAAGGACCCCCTCTTTTTTTTCTCTCAAAAACTCCAGAAGCTAAACATTTTTTTTTTTACTTGGCCTAATAATAAGATTCCCATATAACAGATAAGCCTGGAAGTTCCCACCAATTAATAGGAAAGAATTAATTTTATTTACAAAAGAAGAAAAGAAATAGTGTCACAAAGATCTTTGAGCTCCACAATATTTTTACTTTTCAAGCCATAAAAAGAAGAATGTTTTACTTATAGCACTAAATAACATACATTCTACTTGATGAATCAGTCTATTTAAACAGGTAGGTCTAACTGTTAAATGGCTTAACCGAGAAAATAACAAAACATGGAGATGAAGAAAAGACCCCCCCCCCCACTTTTTAGAAGATGAATTATGGGTGTGAGTTTTGTATACAGATTATTTATTTTCTAAAGCACATGCCAGAAGTCCTTACATATTCCAGTTAAGAGCTGCCACAAGATTAATGTGCTCAGACTATCACTCTGAGGATATATTTTCCTTTTTTTGCATAAAGTTACTCTGCACGCACTTTAGGGCTGTGGGTGCACTAAAAGACTGATAGTCAAATTGCACTAAATAGTCAGACAAGCATAATCCAATAGCTGGCAGTGGGTGCTGTTGACTTCCCTCTAGTCTATCAGTTTAAAATTAGGAAAGGGTATATGCTAATGTGTAGCTTTGTGGGGAAAATTCTGAAACAAACTTATGCATGCATATTCATGTATATGATGTTGCAGATATAACCCAATTATAACCATACATGTATGTAACCGCAGTACCAATTTTCGATACTTCTGTAACTGCTGACTTTGTTAGGATCAAATGTGTGTTGCTTGTAAGATCTCACCAAGAACAAGTTATCTTTCAGAACATTCTACAAAAGACATCATCTAGTATTGTATATCTAGAAACATGATAGTATGCTTCAATATTCAAAATGGCAAGTATTGTATTTATATTTAACTTTAAAAGATTATGCAGAATTAGAATTGTTATTCTAATACCAATGGAACCAAGTGAAGGAACTAGAAAGAGATGTGGATATTCCACTTGAGGAGGAATTTCACACTGAGAAACAATATCTTCCCATCATACCAAATGTAGATTTATCATGTTAGTCTTGAGCATAATGTAAAATAGGTTGACTGTGGCATCTCCAAACTGGCATGGCTGGAATTGAAACTGACCAGCAGTTAAAAATATCCAAGGTATCCAGACAAAAGGAAGTTACACTTCTTACTTACCAAGTCATCAAATGGAGTTTCATGGTAAAATAGTTACAGAATTTTAGGAGATAGAACAGTTATGTGATTCAAAGTCTGAGTGACTATAAAATCAAAAACTGAAATAATATGATGACTCTCACATTCTAAACTATAAAGTAGATTCGTATCAGTATTTCTTAGGTTATTAGATGTAACCCTATAATACAAATGGTTGGTGTGATCATTAATGACATCCAGGAATTCTGGTATGCCAAACGACTGAAAGGACTTTACAATCCTTGCTTTCTTAGTATTCTGGAGATCTTTGTGACAAACATTGACAGATGTTCACCTGAGGGTGTCAATGATACTTCATGTGTCTATGTACACTTCTGGGTGGTATTTACACAAAGACAATATCTTTAAGCTTAGTAGGTCCATACCAGTATTTCAGACATATAGTGAGAAAGCTCAATATGCTCTTAAACAGCATGATAAATGACTTGGACTGTGATAAATTATGGTGGAAATGTCTTTGCTCAATTGGATCTTGTCTGAGAGCTTTTTCTAATGATGTTAACTGTAGAAGGTTTCTTGGTCTATAAGTGGCAATCCTATATTGGATGGAATTACTGGTGTTTGTAATGGCAGTAAATGTATTTCTGTTGTTGCTCTTTTTATTTGTATTACATCAGTCTATGTATATATTAGTATATACTGTAATCTACGATGTGAATTGTGTTCCAATTTCTGCTGAATTTCAGCCATAATTTCATTGAGTTGGATTATCTAACTCAGAGAAGGCAATACAGCAGCAGATAGAACAGCTATAGTTTCTAGCAGTTGGCCATGACAATGAGCACATTATTTACATTGGTTACTAGATGCATGTCGCTGTTACTCTGTCATATGCTACAGGTATAAGATTTATTTAATATGCACTGTTGTGTGTGTATGCACAAGGCAATATGCATGTATTGCACATCATATATGAAGTTGTTTGTGTACGTTGTATTTTGTAAAACAATATAAATATACACAGAACACACAATTATCAAGCAGTAAAGAACTATGGTCAAAATACTGAGATAAATATGTTTGGTAAATGCTGCAGTAATTACCTTGGACTTTATTATGAGAGAAATACAATGTGTGCTGTGTTTAGTTAATAGTGATTTTTTCTCTGAAGGAGATGATGATGATGATGAGTACTGTTCAAAGGGAAACATTGTTACTCAGTGTTTTCACTGGTGGTGGTGTAAACACATGTTCTATTAGATGTAATGGAAATGCTCACATGCAAGTTAAAACACACTAATGCTTGGTCATTTCTCAAAGTTTTTATTTGAATTTGGATGTGGCAGATTTATCACTAGGCTGAAGGGCCCCCATATCAGCAGGACACAAACTCTAAATTAAAAATATTCATATGCATGTGTCATATTTTATGAAACAAGTATATGACATAGTTTATTATTGTTTATGCTTCATTTATTACACAAAGAACAATGTATATACCTTCACAGCAAAGTATGTGATTTAGATTTCGTCTAAACGTTTCATAATCATACTCGTAGCACTATACCTCAACTTTTCACTTCTTATAAATGACTTGTCATTCACTGAAATATCTTGAACTGAAACATCCTTATAATGTACCAAATTTAAGAGCACCCCTTTGAGCAACTTAAAAATAATTATCTTTAGAACAACAAAATTTTGTAGTTCCACCTTTTAAATAATTCAAAAATTATTTTTACATTTCGATAATTCATATATAACACTAGGCTTGCCAACCCTCCCG